GGGCCAAGGGGACAAAGTCGGGATTTCGGAGCCAAACATCATCCCGCCCCCCCCCCCCCCTTTGCCTCACATCTCTAACACCCCTTCCCTCTTCCCGCACCATCCAACCCGGCCCCTGCCTCTCGGCCACTGCTTCCCCCCCCCTTCCGCCATGCAGGCGCAAATCACCTCCGGCACGCGCCAACAGGCGACGGAAATCCTGTCCACCCCGCCGCGCTCAGGCTCCTTTTCCGTCTACTCGCAGAAGCTGACCGCGCTCGCCTTCATCTGGCTGTGCGCCATCGTGGTGTGGGGAAACGTAACGAACTTCGCCGCCGTCAGGGACAAGTGCGACCGGCGCTGCGTGGTGCAGATCGGCTTTGCTTTCTTCGCCTGGATCTACACGTCGGCCCTGCTGCTGTTCAACTACCTCACCGAGAAGAACGTCCTGGGCAGGGACGGCTTCTTCTCGCACGGGCTAGAGGTCCAGTGGATCGGCTCGCTGGCCGTCTTGTGGGTCCCCGTCGTCGTCAGCACCAGCACCATTGCTGGCACGGACATGCTTGTCGGCACCGCTTTTCTCGCCACATGGTTCTCGTGGGGCGGCTTCTTTGGCACTCTCTATGCTACATACAAGGCATACCATTCGTTTAAGGAGGAGGATTTGCCATCTGCTTTGCCAGAGGGATATGATGAGGCCGACTACGTTTACGGGTAGGGTAAGCCCTTCCTACCTCGGCCTGCCTAACATGTCTAAATTATTCCGATCCTTGTCTTGCTTTCACACTTTTTCGGAGGGTTGTAAACTAGCCCGACCTGCCACTTGAGGCAGCTCTCTAAAACTGCTCCAAATTCTACCTAGTGCATGAAATAGAATATCCTTGTTGGCTCTGGTGTAGAGTGATAGCCCCCACCCTTCAGTCAAACAACAATGGATAATGCCCACCATTAAAGACAAGTTTTCATTTATCTTCTATTCTCACGTTGGTACGCAAACGAGATAGACGTTGCAGCAATAAATACAGGGTGCACAACGGCTCCCAAGCATGACTATCACACCATTCACTAGTGACTCAACCACTTGAAATCAGGCAGGTCCTACACATACCACCCACCACTCTCCGACAATGGGCAACGCTTCTCAAAACCTTAACCTCGCCCAGTAAACCGCTGTCCGCCGCACACACAGCCCTCACCAACTAACACAACCCTACCCAGGTCTCCGATATCCGGAACAAACGCCTCAATTCGTGGAATCATGAAAAGTTGGCAAACTCCTCCTCCTCCTCCGCTTGTTGCATCGACAAGGCCTGCTGGTAAATGAGGATTTTCTCCTCTTCCTTCTCCGCATGATAGGCCTTATACGCCCCAAAAATGGAGCTGAAGAAGGCCAACCATCCAAAGGCAATGGCGAGATGCGATGTATGTAGCGCGGGCTTGATAGTGTCGACTCCTTTGTACGCGGACAGCGTGGACACACCGACGGTCCACCACACGACGAGGCCGCGCATGTAATTGCGTTCAGCCGACGACGACATCCAGGCGGTCTTACTGACGCGCGAGGTCCAGGTCAGGCAGTGGCCGCCGAGAATAAAGGTGGTGACGAAGCACGAAATGGCGCCGGTCGCAATGTCGTAGCGGCACAGAGGTCCGCAACGATCTGTCACCGTAGCATGGTTGGCCGTACTGCCGAAGACGACGATGGAGGCTAGCCATATGACGACCTCGGCGGCGATTTTTTGAGCGTGGGGGGAGAGCTGGCCGGAGCGCGGCGGTGGCGAGAGGAAAGGAGAACGCTCCATGTCGCCGCCTGAGGTGAGCGGCTCGGCGGCTGCCGTGAGTGACGCGGGCGTCGACATGCTGTTGGCAGGGCACGACTGGGATGGTGGCAGAACCTGTTTCGAAGGCTTACGCTGCCTTGGACGCTTCCGCTGTGTCGTTGGGAGCGATTGGGGCAATGCGTCGGGCTGGAGTGGAGGAGGAGGTGGGGGGGGGTTGTCGCGGAAAAGGAGTGAGTGGGTGGCGGGGATCGAGAAATGGGGGCCATCTTATGTTAGCGACGTCAGCTTACATACAAAAGATTTGGAGGCTGACATTGTTTAAACGTTGCGAACTTCTATTGGTTCCCATTTTACAGCCGTTTTATCGTGGAAGGCAGACGTCAATTCTTCCGTTTATGAATCCAAAAGACGCAAGGGTCAACCCCAAATGCCAAGGTCGGAGGACAGTCGCAGGGGTTAGTTTGGTTGTCTTGAGTTGAAGCCAAGCTACAGAGGCAGAACACGAAAAAATGGGACGGAAAGGCGCCAAGTCGTGGACGGTAGACATAGTAGGCGCAGTCTAGCACAAACGCCACCGGGAGCTGCTGTATTTACACACGTTCTTACATCGACATTTCGCGGATTCATCAAAGATCAACACTGCCGCACGCACCGTCTCAAAAAGGCTTACCGCCCTCCGCGATTCTCATTTCTGATGCCCTTCGCGCCTTCCCCCGACTCCATCCCAGCAATGATGTGACATGCTCGAGATCCATGTTTGATGGACACGCACAATATGTCTGGCCGTCCGGCGAGTCGAGCACGAAGACAAGCTTTCCATGACGGATACCTAGTTTTGTCCCTGCACGTCAAAGTCTTCTATGCACCGGCATTTGCGGTCAGATCGTGGCTCTAGCTGCTCCATTGGCTGGTGGAACATGTCGAAGAGTGGTCAGAGTCCTGGCTGGACGACCCAGTTGAAGCATGTTCATTGCGCGCTGCAAGATACCTCAAAGTTTAAGTTAGCAACCATGAACACTTTGCCCTCAAGTTGATTGAACCGTTTGCGACACAGCGTGATGGGATGTATTCGACCTTTGCTTTACAAAGGGTTTCCTGCTTTGGTACAGTCATCCCTGGGATAACCCGGTGCAAACAAAAATGTCACACTTTGGGGCCACACCACGCCCTCTTCCCGACGACAAAAGCGCAAGCATCCCTATGCAGGGCGCCGTGGCGCACCACGGTTTACCTCCAACACCGGTCACCTCTCACGTGCTCACTTCTTTTGCGTCTTCTTCCCCCGCACCTCTGCCTGTTGCACGCCATGCAGCAAAATGTACTTTCGATTAGTAGCCGGATTGTGATGCTGGGCGCCCTTGCTCCAGTCATAACCCACGGCATAAGCATAAATATTGCCATCTGAGCTGAAAGCGCCTGCGGTGATGGGCTGATTAACCCTCTGAAACTGCTTCAACCTATGTTTGTTATCCTTATCCCAAAAGTTGAAGCCGCCATCGCCGCCCGCAGTTGCAAACGTGCCGTGCTGCTCATGAAAAGCGATGGAATTGACGGGATAGATGACGTTGCTATCAGCATCTCTGTGACACTTGAAGGCAAAGTCCAACTTCCTATCCTTATCCTGAACATGATCAATACTAACCCTCCCTTCGATAGAGCCGACTGCGTAACCGGCCTGATCTGGGAATGTAGCGAGACATCGAAACTGATGCTTCAGCTGGGCTATCTTCTCATGATAGACTTCTTGCGGCTTGCGGATATCGTAAACCCTGAGCTTACGATCGGCGGTACCAACGACCAAGAGCGGGGCGCGGACGTCCATGGCATAGACTTTTGATGAGAGCTGGACGGTACCCATGGCGGTGCCGGTGGGGGCGCGGATATCCCAATACTTGATGGTCTTGTCCCAGGATCCCGTGACGAGTGCCGGGGAGCCGTTGCCCAAGTCGTTGCAATAAAAGACGTGTCGAATGGGTGCGTCGTGGGCGGCGACGGTGGTGGTCTGGTTTCCGGAGAGCATCCACATCTTCGCGACCTTCTCCGCGCCGGCGGAGAAGACGGAGCGCCCGTCCGCGCTCCACGCGACGTCCAGCACGGGGGCTGAGTGCTTGATCATGCCTATGGGCGTGGACGAGCCGTTGGACTGCACCTCCCAGCACCGGACCTCCGAGTCCCATGACGCCGACACCAGGAAGCTCTTGGGCGCGAGCGTGGGCGGGGAAAAGGAGAGCGACTGTACCGTGTCCGACGGCGGGTCCGTGAGAAGCACGTCGCCGTTCGGGTTGTGCGGCTGCGCGGAGCCGCCGGCGGAGAAGACCATAGCGGGTGGAAGATCTTGGGGGGGAGGGGGGAGCGATGGGGGGAGCGATGGGGGAGGGGGGGAGCGATGGGGGGGAGGGGGCAAGGTGCGGAAGGAGGTGCTGGTGTTGCTGGCAAGGGAGAGCGGGTTGGGATAGCGGATCGGGATTCGTTTGACGGAATTCATTTGATCCGTTATGATAGTGCCCCGTTCGGAGACAACGCGGCCCATCGGGGTGTCTCCGAAAGGGGCGGCCTCGGTCCATCGCGGGGCACCGCGAGAACGAGACGGGAAAGGCTCAAGAGATTGCGCCAATCCACGCGACATGCCTGACGTCAATCACCCTCGTCCTTTCCGCTCCACCTCGCTCTATAAAGACCCCCCAACCTCCTCCGCCAACTTTTCTCTCCCGTCACCACCACCACACACCCCACCCTCCACCGCAACCATGGGCCTCAAGGATATCTTCAGCGACGCTGCCGAACGCGTCAAGCAGCTCCCGGAAGCCTCCAACGACGACAAGCTCGAGCTGTACTCGCTCTTCAAGCAGTCCAACGTGGGCGACTGCGCCACCGGTACGTCATACTCCTCGACTCCACGCACCCCCTGTCCCGCCCACCGCTTCACCCGCTAACCGCCACCCCTTAACTGCCACACCCTAACATCACCACGCTCGCGCTACAGATCGCCCAGGCGGACTCTTCAACATGTCCGAAAAGGCAAAGTGGGATGCCTATAACGGAAAGAAGGGCATGGCCCAGGACGACGCCATGAAAGCCTACATCGAGAAGGTCGACTCTCTGTGCGGCACCTCGTTCGGCTCCCAGGCCTAAGCACTTGCTGAAAATAAAATCGCCTTGCTTTATACACCCCGCCACAACGCCCTATCACCCCCCCTCGTCCTTGTCCTCCTCCTCGTCCTCGCTACTAGAGTACACACACAGACCCACCCCCGCCGCCCCACTCTTGCCTGCCGCGCTGCCTTGTCCAGCCTTTCCGTTGACCCGGCATGCCTCCCCTTCTTCTGCCTCCTCCTCTCCCACTACCCCGTTTGCCTCGCCCTCCTCCGCCCCCGCCGCGGCCGCGTTCCCCTCCCCCCTGCGCCCCCCCTCTTCACCGCCATCTCCGACCCTCCGTCTCTTCGCGGGCCTCACCCTAATCCCCCTTCTGCCGCCCTCTCTCCCCTCTCTATCGTCCCTTTCCCTCATCTGCACAATCCTCGCAATTGCGTCGCGAGCCTCCACAACGCCCTTCTTCCTCATGGCGTAAAACCTCCGCACGTCCTCCTGCTCCTCGTCCCCCTCCGCGCCCTCCTCCTCCTCCTCTTCCAGCACTATCTCCTCCTCTTCTGCCACCTTGGGCACCATCAGTACCGGCGTCTCCACGCTCATCGCGTCCGCCGGCAGCCTAGACGGCACAAAGTTCGGGTACGAGATCGCGTTGTCCACCACAGTTTGCTGCCGCGGGAACACCGACGACGTCGGCCGCTCGGGATGCGGGGCCCGCCCGCTCGACTCCGCCTCGGAGCGTGACGTCGACGCCATTACGCCTGCTGCGGAGAGATGCCGACTGGACTAGACAGATGCTGATTGAGGGACCTGCGATGCGTCGTCAATAAAGTGTGCGCGAGTGCACAAAATATGCCCCCAATTTCATCCGGCACACACACTGCTGTGTTCGCTACTTTTTATGACGGATGCAAATTGCGCATGCGTTCCAATTCTTCTTTCAATCCCAACCTCTGCTCCTTCCTGCCCTGTCATCGTCGCTTCCACCTCCCTTCTGCCCTGTTCGTTCGGCTCCAGTCCTTGTTGATCCGCACGCTGTCATGGGCGATTCCGGCTGGTGCACAATCGAGTCCGACCCAGGCGTCTTCACCGAGCTTCTGTCCTCGATCGGCGCCAAACGCGTCCAAGTCGAGGAGCTCTACTCCCTGGACAAGACCCTCATCCCCCAACATGGGACCGTCTACGGCCTCGTATTCCTCTTCAAGTACCAAAAACGCCCCCCCGCGGCCGAACGCCCTGGCACCCTAATCTACCCGCCGCCAGACACGCTCTTCTTCGCCAACCAGACCATCCAAAACGCGTGCGCGACGCAGGCCATCCTGTCCATCATTATGAACGCCCCCGCTGTTGACGTGGGGGAGGAGCTCCAACGGTTTCGCGAATTCTCCGCGGGCATGGATCCTGTCACCAAAGGCATGGTCGTGGGTAATTCCGAGGTCATTCGCACAGCGCACAACTCCTTCGCGCCGCAGGAACAGCTCGTCGTAGATCGTGATCCCAATGCAGAGAAGGAGGACCCGTTTCATTTTGTTGCCTACGTTCCGCACAATGGGAAGGTCTATGAGCTGGACGGTCTGCAGAAAGGACCCTTCGAGCTTGGTGAAGTACCAAAGGAGGCCGATTGGTTGGATGTGGCTACGCCTGTCATTTCGAAGAGGATGGAAGAGTACCAGCAGGCAGGTGATGGCACCGAAATTCGGTTCAACTTGATGATGGTCGTGGAAGATCCGAGGGAGAAACTCACGCGTAAGATTGAGGAGCTACGCAAGGATGGAGGCGATACGGGGAGGAAAATGGATTTAGAGGAGAAGCTTGCGAGAGAAGAGGACAAGCACAAGCAGTGGCACAAAGAGAACGTGCGAAGAAGGTTCAACTTTACGCCGTTCATTATTTCATTCTTGAAGGCGTTGGCGACGTCAGGGCATGCGGGGGCTGTTATCAAGCAGGTGACGGAACAGAAGAAGACAGCGTATCAAGAACGGTTGGAAAAGGAAAAAGAAGCGAATACGTCTCAACCAAATTGAGGATATAACCAGGGCAAGTTTAACATACGTGCAATTAAAGACCTGTTTTCCGGATGGGTTCGAAGTGTATGTAACAGTATCACTCAGCAGTTGTAAAATTCCGTTCGCCTCGAGTCAGAGTGGTGTGCCAGTCAAATCATAGTGCGACGCGGGAGGTGTAGACCTGAACGCCCAATACGTAACGCCTCGGTTGAACAGATACCCGGAATCAAAATCCCTCGCCCCTTGCAGTCGCACTCAAATCTCCAGTGAGCTTGCGAGGACACCTACTCATCTAAATTTCCATCCGTGTCAGCCGGAGGCTCGGCGACGGCAGTAGTAGTTTCACCGGACGCAGCCTGGGGGATAACATTGTATGGGTCTGGCATTCTGCAGCAGTCACGGACAATGTTTCGCCAAAACGAAAGTTCAAGCCGCGTTGTCAGTACTGTGCCTGCATGTAACACACGGCAAACCCGGCTCGCAGAACGCGGATCCGATCCATAGCAAACACGGCAACTTACCCTTCGGCGCCTAGCGGATTCGGATCAAACGGCGGCGGCTTGCGGTTGATGTCAGAGGGTCTGTGTTTCCTCGGTCGGTAGCGCTCCGCTTTCTTGGCCGCTTTAAACTGGACATGCTTGGCCGCTCGAATTTCGAGCGGCGCCGCAGTAACCGGCTTAAGCACAGCAGGCTTTGAACAAACAGCTGTGGAGGAGTGCGCAAGGCCAGTGCGTGGGAGGGAAACAGCGTGAACAAACGCCATGATGAGCTGATGGGCTTGGTGCCGACGAGGAAGTAGGGAGATCGAGAGACGTAGGGGCAATCTCGGGTGGCGAGGAGAAGCTCAATTTATTGAAGAGCACGAAACGGGCTAATTGGAGCGGATCATGAAAATCTCGGCGAAAAACAATTTCCGAAAATTCTCCGCTCTGCGCTTCTTCAGGAGTTCCAGCTATTGTAGAATGCAAATCAGGAACGACTATAATCTGTTTTCGACGTTTCAGAGGTTAAGCCCAGACAAAATTCTGCAATTGAGAGAGAAGCGCCTGTCCTTTCTATGAATCCGAAGCTCGATCGGCGAAGTGGAAGCTTCATTGGGTCCTACATAGAAGCAAGGTCCGTTTCTGATGGCCAAGAGGATATAATGCGTATCGACTCGCGGGACTGTGCACGTCGAATTCGCTTGCCTGACCTCGAGGAAAAGTCCGCTCACAATTGGCAAGTCTCTCTTCCTCTTTCTTCCCCCCGGAGAGTGCTGCCTACTGTTTATTACTGTCTATCTAGTGCTACCTTTTTAACTACCGGCTCTGACGGAAGTTCAATTCCACGCGCTCGCGCTGTGTTACGCCAACGGGCGCGACCCATTGTCAGCAGTCCACTGTCGGCAGCTGGATTGAAAGGTCGCCTCTCCTGCAGAGTCAGTTGTTGCGCATGTTACCTATCCGTTTGGCCAGTCGCGCGCGCATAATAGAATGGCTCGGGGTGTTACAAATGTATTACCTTTCTTCCGGTGGTTGAGGAACGCGAGAATAGACAAGATTAGAGTCTTATCCGGCGGACTAGCGGACTGGAATTGCTTTAAAAAAACACGACAACATTTTTCCTCCTAGTTTACAAAGCGTTATATCTTCAGATCACTAACCCAACAACCCGTGCCCACTGTTTATTTCTTGCCAGCAAAGAAATCAACATGAAAAGTTTATGCAGTAAAGCCCGAAAAACATCTCTACTTCTCTGAGCCTCTACTTATGATTTTACTTACAAAGGGAGACTATTTTCTGCCCGAACACATAAGTTTGACTCAGTGCTCAAATCATTGAGGAAATGTTCAATACGCAATATGTCCTCCACCTGTCATCTATTTCGTAGACATGCGAATCATTTTCTTCCCCAGCGTTCCTTTCTCTACTGTGATTTAAGTATGATTTCATGAACGTTCAGAGTTCCAGTCTTTAAATTTGCCTTGGCCCTATCTTCGTTTCGATGTCTCTCGTCACTCCTTATCGACTCATTCTTACAAATAACAAAATGAACAGAATCGATTACAGTGTATCGAAAGCATTGAAGACCATGGGATCTACGTGAGCATGGACATTTTTCTGGTGCTCGTTTTGAAGTGCAAGAGCTGCCTCAATTTCGGTCTATATCCAACCCGGTTAGCTTATGCCAGTCTGAATTCCACACGTCCAACACTCTTTCGAAGGACCCTTAAAGCGCGTGCTAGAAGTATGCCTCAAAAAGGTGGAACCTTCCAGCACCAATACAGTATCCTCACATTACCTCTGGATAGACCCTACTATCAAAGAGAGACCCCAACTTTACGACCCTACCAACAAAGAGAGACCCCCAACTTTACGTTTCTAAGGCCCAACAGATTACCGCTTTGGGTTACGAGTTCAAAAGTTTGTATCATTTCACAGTTGCTACTCAAAAGAATCACACCTTTGTACAAATGACCAGAAGACTAGCAGATTCGAAGTTCAAAACGCTTTTGCAGTTGGCGGGAGACCCAGAAAAGAAGCTGTGTTCCAGGTTTTTTACATCCGACTGCTGTTCATGAGCATCCCCTTCCTTAATCGCCATTAAGCACTTTGAGCGTGCATGCAAATAAAAAAAGATGGTGAATAGCTCTCTACATGCAAGATCCCGACAAGTGAAAAAAACGCTTTTCAGAATTACAAAAATAGTTTTTTTCTTATGCCGGTGAAAGCGATTCTTGATGGACAACAATTGTGTTGTCTGAAGATTTATGTTCTTTCCTATCTGGAGATAGAAAAACAACTACGTGTCGTTGCCCATGATCATGGTGGGGTACCTATCACCCCTGTCATCGTGATATGTTCCATTTACGGATATTGCCCAGGGCATAATATTCGTGTCACTTCTCTGCACCATGTTCCTCCCAGATGGAATAGATGCATGACAAGCGTTTTTGGTGGACAAGACCTGTCGAGAAAGCCTCTTTTATTTCAACGTCGCAGCAGATCTACATCTTTTACGCTCCCATCGAAATGAAAAGTCTTTTTTGAGAAGAGAAAGCCTCGTCTTTTCCGGATTCAAAAGCTTGCTTGTAGTGAATACCATTACAATGGAATTGGAAAAGAGCGGAACATTCCTCTTCCTATGAATGGAAAATGATCTGGCAATCAAGTTCCTATGCTTCCGTACCTCTCAGTAAGTGAGCTGGCAATTCACCAACGCGACATTCCGCCAAGACATGTGTCGAATATTGTTGGGCTCGTCGTTTGGTGCTGGGCAGGAGGGGAGAAGGTGGCAAATCCGAAATACCAGCTACTGTCAGTTGTGTCAATATCTTACGAATGATCAAACCCCATTCAAAAGCTTTTGCTAAGCATGTTAGAAGGATCGTTTAGTACCCGTTCTGTTTTTATCCAAGGAAGGAAGAAGTGCACAACCGAGGCAGCGTTCGAAGTAGAGCTTGTAAGGGCAAGCCACAAGCGGGGATATCAAGTTTAGTGATTATTAAGGGCTTGCTACGTGTACCAGGTTCTATACGATGACTCTGTCATGAGGCCAAATGAAACATAGGTTCAAAAAGCGCTCAATCCAACACTAGCTATACAAGAATTTGTGAAAATAACTCTGGAGATGCTGATTTCTGCGATGTTTCCCATTGCCTTGCGTTGAACGCGCCCTTGAATAACGCGGGAATCTCGATGGAGAATCAGCATTAAAGAGCGTAGTGTGTAATGGTCCAGCTGTGGTGCAGAAGGAGAGCCATTGTTTTGAATACGACACGAATCGAAATCCACAAAGTGAAAGACATTCTTTTCACTGCAAAAATGTCTTCAGTGAGGGGTCAGCATGCACCGAAGGAAGGAGTGCGCCTATGTCCTCTTCTGATACATCTTCCACTTCAATGTGTTCCAATGGTGAATTCCCGATTGCCTAGTACAGGCGTAACAAGTTCACTCATGCTCTAACAAAAGGATCAACTGCACCTGCGTTTTTTGGGGGTTGAGGTCGAAACGCATTGCTTCTAAACCAGTACTGCAAGGGGAGTTGTTGTACATTTCTACACAAAGTAAGCGTCCTCATCAATTCTATCACCGTATTCGCCTTTTCGTCTTTCCTCCATACTCTTGCGTACCCACCCAACGCAACCTCAGGACTAATCTGTCTTTAAAGTTCGCCCAAAGCGACTCCAATACTGTAAAGAATATAATTATTAATACGTAATCCCACGAAACGATCCGTCTGTTGCACACCGCACTAGGACAGCAGTTGGTTGCCCTATGAATATCTAATTCCCGAATGCGCACCTTGCAGGATGAATGCATACGAAAAGATCACAATTTGCTCTCGTAAGAAATCTCAGCCTCTAGCACAAACAGGACCATCCGTAGTTTGTAGTAATTGAACAAACTGCTGCCTGGATGCAGCCGTGATATGCAGTTTGTTTGTCGCATTATACTCAATGAAAATAATATTCGTTGACACCATTCAACGAATATTGACTAGGAATCCGTTCCAGACAAGTGTTCATGTCCGGAATATCTCTTCGATTTATTTAATCAGTGTCAGTAGTCATGAGTAGGATTGGAGCCTCCGACGAATGTAAAGGTCATAGTTTCTCTGATGGTGATTATAGGCAAACCCAACACAGTGGAGGTGCACTAGAACACCGAATCAAGGACTTGCTTGTTGTTCACACACGTCAGTTTATGGCGGGATGGTCCGGGAATGAAGACTACAGTACTTTGCTTCTCCCCTACAAATATATTTCATGTGGTGCAGCTCACCACTATATGACAGTAAAACGGTCCGTCATCTAAGCTGCGTCAAGGACTAGAACGAGGAGACCCTAAAGTGCTTCGCTTTATGAGTTGAATCCGCCATTGTCAGCCTTTTGATTGGTAAAACGTCTCGCTGGAATCCAAAAAGATGCTCGGGCTGGTAGGAAAGGTGAAGAACTTTCGATTTGCTTGACAGAAAGTTTTGTTCCTCACACGTGAAACGTGCCACCTATCGCCGAGTTCTTTTTATGTTATGCGAGAGGTTTGGACTCGAGTAACGTGCGTTGGCTAAGCATGGCGCCTTTTATTTCTCTCCGGTTTGACCTCTTTAAGGGCTTCAAACTAAAGAACACTGGAATAAAAGAGCTGACTGTCAAAGATGGAAATGTGATGTTCACACCATCTTTTTGCTCTCGAGAAGATTTGCATCCGGAATCAAAAGCAAAGAGGTGCTGCTGTATTGCGATCGCTAAGTTTTTAACTGTGCACAGCTCACTATGATCTACCGTGCACTATTGTAAACACTTTGATGAGGTTCGTCTTCAGGACAGCACTGCAGAGCCCCAGGATTATCCACTGTTCAGACCAAGTCAATGGAAGATTTGAGCAATATTTCTGAAAAATCTGTACATGATGATTGTCGCAAACCTCCAAGCTATTGAATAAAGCAAGACTGCCCGCGTTCACTGGGTTACCATCTCCCCATGCACTTTAGGGTTGCTGGGGGATTTCGTCTGAAAAAGCATTGCTATTGATTGCACAACAAAACAGGGCCTGTGTTGCTTCGAGCCTGCGGCTTCTCTAAAGCTATAGGTGTATAGTGAAGACATCTGGGTTCCATCAGCAAGTTATATTATCTTTGAAACAGAGTTTCTGCAATGCAATCACAGACACTCTGTACGCGATCCTGCGCCAACAAGAATTTTGTCAGTGAATACAGTAGCAAATGAATGCTTTGTAAAAGCAATGTTGCTTTACGTTCTTTGACCTTGAGTGAAAAACTGAAGGGACCATCCTTTTTTCGGAGCTGGATATGCCTGAATGCCACACGTTTTTTGAAAGTGACATGCACTGTTCGCTCTTCTATAGCACCTTCGCCCAGCGGTTGACATTTAAACGAAAATGTCACATCATCGAACACGAGCGAACACGGCTCTTTCGCGCAAGTTAAGGATTAACGGGCTTCGGAGCCCGTTCCAGCTCTTCTCAACTGCCAGGATTCAAATACAGCTGCGTTGGTACAGCCGTATGATATGTACCTCTAGCGTTTCTAGTACGAGGATGAAATTGCTCTGAAATAGTTGGTGAGAAGCACACTAAAGATTCACGCAGCTCTTGATGTTCCAGCGGAAAGCCATATATTTTGCATTGGTAAGAAGCAACCAACATTTACACCCATAACGATTCGGTTCTCTCATCTCCGCTTAAGGGTCCAAACGCTATGAGGGGCACTGTACAATCGTTTGGGCCGGTGTCTGGGTGCAGTAGTGCTGAATTAGCGACGGAGGAGGCATAACAATTCGGACTTGTGGACAAGATTCATGGAAGGCATGAATTGAGATACTGGCACATGATGCATAGTCAAGTAGTCTGCTTACCAAAGCATACGCGCTCTGGATGAACAGACCGCTTGACCCATAGCATCTGTCAGAAATTTTGCAGAGCATTAGCAAATCTTAATCATAGCCGGTCAACCGGTTTCCTCCTTCTCTTTTGTATCTGTATTTTCCGGTGCCCGGTCCGCAGCTTTCGGTGGCGCGGCACCCGCTCCGGTCATGTGTTCGAGCAAGCTCAGAGCTCCTGAATAATGCGAATCTGATTCAAACTCAGCGAAGATATAGCTCGATTGCGACTTGGTGACGAGTCTCAACATGGACTTCGCGCCTTTCTGAATCTTGCCAACGTCTGCAAACGGGACGGAAACCCCAAACGGCTTGCCTCCAAACGCTCCGCCATCATCGGTGACGTACAAGGCGATATGTGACGTACTGACAAACAAGCGGCCGCGCAACGGATATGTCTTCTCTGGGGTAGAGTTATTCAAATAGCAGCGATACTTCTGCAACAAGGTGCATTTGAAATGATCGACCACCTCATCGTCCTTTTCGATATCCGGAAAGAGTTCGCGAAAACTGGCATGTATGTCCATGTCTTCGTCGTCTTTGTCACTATCCGGCTTCGCGGCGAGAATGTCGTCAAGAAAAGTATTGAGGGTCCCCCAGCCCTTCCCAATTTCCTGGGCGGCTTTCCCAAAAGTCTCGTGGGCCGCCTTGCTGGCATGCTCGAGTTCCGCGGTGGCGGCGTTTGCAATGTTAGTAGCAGTGGCGCCGATTTCGTCGCTATGGTCGGCGGCATGTGAGGCTTTTGGGTCGCGCTGTTCCTGATCTACTTGTTCTTCTTCTTCGTCCTCTGCGGGACCGGTGAAGAAGCCACCGATATTTCCGGCGACAGCGTTAACATCGAAACCCCAGGCGGAGAAGACGCCAGTCTGCTTGGACGCTTCTTTCTCTGGGGTGGGAGCGTCCTGGTCCGATGAGGTCTCTGTGCTGGGGTCGTCTGGTGAGGGTTTCGCGTCGGCGGACGAAAGGGCGGACTTTTCGGGTGGGAAGCCCGCGGCAGAGTCGCCTGGCGGGGTGTCGACCTCACCTGTCATGGATGGGATCGGGATAGAGCGTGAATTGGGAACGGCAAGCACGGTTACAGTCAATCGCAAAGGATGCTTTAAAGGGAGATGGGAGGCGAAACAAACCAAGGGCGATGGAGAGGCAAAAACTCAATGGTACCCTCAAGGGTATCGGGTAGAAGAGCAATTATGGGCACTAATTTTCTTCAGAAACCCAACTTTCAGCAACACTCAACAATGCAACAGCCCACAGTGGCACGCACAGCCGCAAGAGAGACATTCGCAATCACGACACTTCATGGTGGGCCGATTGCATTCCAAGTTTACTGTCAGATGAAACGTGTTCCACGTGGATAGAATACTGTAAATCATTTCGTAATGGGTATGATCCGAAATGCGATGCAGCTCTGTGATCCGATCCGATGATTCGCGAAGTGAATCAAGCGCGGATGTTGAAGAAACAAGGCATTTTTTCGAGGGTCATAAGAATAGGAATTAGATGGGCCATGCAAAGGTGGCCGGCGTTCGAACACTGGGGCATTTCTGACAGTGTCAGGGCGCGCCATAATTTTTTGCTCCTCCCAGGACTCGTGCGCGCCGATATCGACCTCAGGCCGGTCGCCAGGCAGCCCGCTCTGAATTAAATTCAGATGCGTCCCTAAGACCTGAAACACGCTCCTGTGGACCCCTGCGTACCCCTTCCCGGCTCATACTCGCCTCACACTGCGTATTGCGGCGTTGTCCCGCTCATCAATGTCTTTCTCCCACCCTCACCTCGGGCAATACCGTAGAAGACAGCAAAGCATTTTCATACATATGAGGGAAACCAAACAGGAGCACAAACGCACCTCGCATCTCAGCAATCGCTTTGCCTTGCTTTCCAGTCGTCCCCTCCAATCCCGTCTTCAACAGTTTTGTAGCGTCAAACTGACACGCCTGGGCAGTGTCCCATCCGACCTTTCACTGCCTAAACGCTCATATCTGAAGCAACAAACCCGCCTCCATATATCCCAATATTTCACCCAAGTAGCGCCCTCCCCTGGTCGTCAAC